GCCCCCTTTCTCCCCCGAAACCGGGCCGGGGGGTCCCACACCAGGAGTAGAGGAAGAAGAGGAAGAAGGGCAGGGACACGACGAGCTGGAGCTGCCGCCAGCGCGGGAGGGCGAAGGCGGCGCCGGCCAACACGAACTGCCCCAGGGTGTAGCTGTAGCCGTTGATGGTGCCCACCACGGCCCGCGCCTCCGTCGGGATCCACTCCATGCCTGGGGGGCACAGCCGGGGGGGCCACGGAGGTCAGTGGGGGCCAACGGGGTCAATGGGAGTCAATGGGGGCCATGGGGGTCAATGGCAGTCAACAGCAGTCTATGGGGGTCAGTGGGGTCAATGGGGGTCAATGGGGGTCAACGGCAGTCAGTGGGGGGTCATGGGGTCAGTGGCAATCAATGGGAGTCTATAGGGGTCAGTGGTGGTCAATGGGGGCCAACGGTGGTCAACGGGGGGCCATTGGGGTCAATAGGGGCCAACGGGGGTCAATGGTGGTCAATGGGGGTCTATGAGGGTCAGTGGTGGTCAATGGGGGGCCATTGGGGTCAATCGTGGTCAATGGAGGGCCATTGGGGCCAACGGGGGCCAACGGGGATCCATGGGGGGCCATTGGGGTCAATTGTGGTCAATGGGGGCCGATGGGGGCCAACGGGGGTCGATGGGGGCCAACGGGGGTCAATGGGGGGCCATTGGGGTCAACCGTGGTCAATGGGGGCCAATGGGGGTCAACGGGGGTCAACAGTGGGGATCCTTCCCTGGGTTTGGGGTCCCGTCCCTCCCCCGGGGATCCCCTCCCTCCCTGGGGGTCCCACCCCATCCGTGGGGGTCCCACCCCCGTTTTTGGGGTCCCACTCACAGAGGGAGGCGGAGTTGAGGGACACCCCGGCCATGGCGAGCCCGGTGAGGAAGCGCAGGAGGCAGTAGAGGGGGAAGGAGGGGGCGGCGGCCGTGCCCACCCCCGTCACCCCCATCTGCAGGTAACACCAGCACAGCAGTGCCCGCCGCCCGAACCTGGCACAGCAGGGCACTGGGGGAACTGGGGGCACTGGGACGGGGGATATGGGGCACTGGGGGCAGTGGGAGGGG